GCCCCCCCCCGAGCCGCGAGAGTGAGTTCCCCCCACCCCGCCCTCCCCCCGGAACCCAGCGTGACGTCACAGGGTATGGAATACCGGGCTCTGTTTGGCCAGGTGGGGTCAGCCCCCACCCCCCGGCTGTGCCCCTTCCTGGAGTCCGGTGAAAATTAACCCTGTCCTGGCCAAACCCAGGACAATCCTCCTCAACCCAAGTTTCTACTCCAATGGGGACCTCTGGTTCAGATCTAGAAGAAATTTTAATTGAACCTCCCACCCTAATTCTGCAATATCTCTTATGTCCTTACAATTGCATCATTTCTTACCATTCCCCCCATGTTAGAGATTGTGTTATAAAGTTTGCTGAAATCGGTAAGTTAAAATACCTACCCGTTTGGGAGTAAGAGCCAACAGCACTGACAGGAAATAGAATATCTGAGTCATCATTCAGGACCTGCAGAGGAGTCCAACTGCATATCTGAGAATTGCATGTGCCTATTTCATGAGGCCTAGATTTAAAACAAACAAATGAAACAACCTATTTATACAGTCAATAGTCATGTTCACAATGCTTATATTTCTTTCAGAGATATCACTGCAACCTGCCTGCCAGTTCCTTGGTTCAGACATACATAAATTCATTAAAGATCAGACCATTCCAAAGCAGATGAGACGAGCAGCGCTTGCCTCTTTTTCTCCAAAGGGATTTCCATGTGAGAAATAAACAGGGCATATTAGTATCTAAAATTATTCTTTTTCTCTCACTTTTGTCTTGTCTTGTTTAACCATCTACTCTGATGATAACAGGCTTACTCTGTTTAAAATATGTGGTTTTACTGTGAAGTCAAAATAGAGTTGATACCATACTAAGAATTAAGGAAGCTTCAAACAAGTCAGAATTATAGCCTGGCTATATCACGCAGTAATTTCAACAGCTGAGAACTGCAAGGAGAACAAGTCCCAAATCTCGAAATATTGGTTTCCAGTGGAACTGAGAAGCAAAATACCATCACCACAGTGGCCCAAATGGCTTGCACAACTGAAAAGAAAAAAAGAGAAAAAAAAAAGGGGGCGGGGGAATGAGAAGGGACAGGGAAGAAAAAAAAAAGAAAACAGAAAATCTGTAGTTCACTTCGCTACACTAATTTGCCAGTAGTCGTGAAGCAATGGGGGGCAGGAGCATGGAACCTTTACCACTGGCTTCTGCAACATTACTTACTTTTCCGAAGCTTCAGTTTCACCATCTGTGCCTTTATTTCCTAATGTTTTTCCATATAGCTCATCCTCATCTGCATCTTCATCGTCAATGCTCTTCACATCTAGTTTCTGGTATTCATATTCTCCATTTATGAATACTGAATTGCTCATCCACGAATGGTTGCGTTCATTCTCATTTAAGTTTTTTCCACGAGTCCTTTCAGATGAGGGTAATACAAAAACTGAAGATCTGTCTAGACTCTCCTCTGAACTTTCTCCTGTAATCACAGTCTTCGTGGCATCCCCCAAATTTTGCTCATCTTCCTCTTCATCAAATGAGATAATATTTGTCACTCTCTTCTTCTTTTTTCGATCTTTTTTATATTTCAAATCTACTAGCAACATAAAGGTTTACATAGTTTAGAATAAAGAAACAATGTAACATACTTGTTTGCTGCTTAAAAGAACTCATGCAGTTCAGTAAACAAAAAAACCCTTAGATCTACGTGGCATTTCATTCTCTTCCATACACATGAGCTTTTAAATCTTTAACTGTCTTTCTTTTCTACTCCTTATGAATTCAGATTTTAAAAGAAATTTTGGAGGTGCATTCATAACTATTCACTTGGAAATGGAAAAAAAAAATCAACAAACTTATAAAATGAAATGTAAAATAAAAAGTTAGCCTTCTCCTCACATTCTCCCATGGAATACGGCTAATGTATATTGCAGAGTATGTTTAGACAACAGAGAAAACACGAAACCCTTCTGGGAAGAAAAAATTAAAAAAACCAAACTCACAACAAAAAAAATGCAGGGAGTTTTCAGAAGAAGAAATTAAACTTGCTCCCTCCCTCAGCTTAATTAGTTCTTGGTCTAAAAATACATTGAAATCCTCTCTGATTACATCACATCGATGCTGTGACAGCACTTATTTTTAAATTATTACCTATTCTCACCGATTCCAATGTGCACAAGGCTAAATCATCTTGCAAAGTTGAAGTACTCTAAGAAACATCAGAAACTCACCACAACAACTCATATTGGGACTAAACTGTTTTGCTTAATTCAAGTCTAGCTATTCTATATCCACAAAACACATTAAAATACTTTTAAGAGGATGTTAAAACCCATTCTGGATGCAGACAGAATTCCAGCGAAGAACACAGACTTTAGTGAAAACATCTGACTTGCTCTAACATTCAATATATAGTGCATTTGAACAAACCCAATTTTTTTAAAGTGATGCTTTATTCTAAGTTGTACCTTACATGTACTGTACACATAATATACATTATGTTGTAGTCCTGTGCAGCACATGGTTAATTATTCTGTTATTTCATCTTGCAAGCCTATTCTACACTAACAAAGTTATCCCAAGTCAAGTATCACCTACTATTTAGATCTCATTTAAAGTGTTAAACAACAAAAGCTTTACCACAAGTTTGTTTTGAAAATCATGTTTTGAGACAGTCTCAAAATTAAATGCCATCAAAAAACCGATTTTATCCCAACTCCTATTCCTACCAGATAGCATTCACATGTGGATTTTTTTTTTCCTTTTTCTCATAACCAAAACAACTTAAAGCCTAAACTCAAACCTTGCTTCTAATTGAAAAACACACAAATCCCAGAATCTTCCTGCAGTTTTGTACCTTTACAAAGCAAACCTTCTTTCAGCTCAACTTCTGAAGTTGAAATGAAGATGATAAAATATTTCTTTGCTTGTTTTAGAACTGAATGTATAATGAACATCACATTTTGCTTGATTAATTCCAAATTGTAAGAGACTGGGTCTCAGGGCCTTTGTTAGTAACTAACATCCTACAAACTGGTAGCAACACTAAACATATTTAAAGGTAAAACGAGTGCATGAGTAAATTTTCATTTGTGGTAATTACCTACTTCATACAGGAATTCAGACTGTAAACATGGGCGCTGCTTGAAGAAGATTACAAGCTACGATTTTTATCTAATATGTAACAACAGATATATGACAGTGTATTTCTGACTGATAAAGTGCCAACAGAAAACACATTAAAAATGAAAAATCATTACATCGGAAACCGCAAGGTATAATCTTATGACTAGGAAATTGAAATTCAGGTCACATGCAAAGCACTTTACCAATAAGACAGTTTAGCTTCCCTCTCAGAGGGACACAAGAAAGGTAAAATACACATTTATCATCCAGTATTCACACCAGTACTTCTAAAAAATTCATACTTTTTATTTCACACTCAACTAGTTTGTATGTGTAGTGCACTTTTTTTAAGGGTTTTGTTCCATAATAGTGTATTCAATTTAACTGAAAAAAGTTATTTACATACACTTGAACATAAGCTTCTGAATGACACTACCATTGCAAAAATGCTTACCAGCATTTACATTCTTTGAGAGAACAGGAAGTGGGTCAGTGTCTTGATCAGATTTTATTAGAATCGAGACAGCAGATGACGCAGTTATTTCTCTAAGAAGGCTGCTAACACCTTGAGTGGATTCTTTCAATAACAAGGTTACATTTTGCGTCGATTCCTTTAACAAATCAGACACGGTGGGTGTGCATTTGCTCTGCCCATTTAAATCCTTATTATCAATGTTGATTGCAAAAAGAATGGAGTTCAGACCTTCAGATAACAGAAAGGAAAAAAAGACCAAAAACCCACTATATGATTCACACAAAAGCTACAAAGATAGAACCTAAGGATTAACAAAGCTATATGACATGTAAAAGGTTTTTCCCCCAAAATTTCCCACAGTTCTTCATGCATGAATTCTTATTCTTCCATGTACCATTCATTCTTTTTTAGATGATATTCAAGCCAATGCAATCAGTTCTCAGTTTATCTTGATGGCTGTTCAACTGCACATTAAATAAACAGTAAGTACTGTGAACTCGTTTATTTATAACCTTTTATTTAAACTCTTTTCACTGCAACTTTAATATTTGTTGGTTCCTATATTCTATTAACAAAAGCTCCTGTGAACCCTATCTTGCAGAATGAAGCATGTGACCATGTATCCGAGAAAAGAGGTAATAATATATCACTTCTGTGGTCAAACTCTAGAAAAGTAAATTACCTGTTATCATTCCTTACTCTTGCTCTCCTTCCATGTATTTACTTACAATTTGTGTCTTACTGTAATAGCCTACCATTGCTCTTTCCTAGAGAGGAATAACCCATTTTGTTTTCTCTAAATTGCACTAGTTTTTAAAAAAAAAAGTTAGCCTTGACGTATGAAGAGTCAGAAAATCCATGTGAAAGGCTTTTGAACTGTAGGAAAGCTAGATCCAGTGTTTTAACAGTTCATCAGTTCACAGCATAAATTGGCATGCCTTGACTATTCACCCTCAACATGCATCTGACGTACATTCTCCACATAAGGAGAACGTGTCAGAGAATCTCCTTGCAAGCAGAAACAGATATAACATCCCAAAATGAAACATTTTTTCAAGAACAGTAGCATTTAAGAGAAAGTCTTACCAGCTGCCATTGTAGGTATCATACTAGAACGTTCTTCATCCATCATAAAAGACCAGTCTTCATAGAAGACACTTTAATTTGAAAGGGCGGGAGGAGAGGGGGAGGGGAAAAGGAATATGCAGTCCTATATTAGCATACATTCCACTTCTAAAAGACATGAAAACTCTGAAAAACAAGTGTGAGTACACCAATGGATCAAATTTTATGTCACAGTAACTCCCTGAAGCCCTTGAATATACCAAACTGTCTGAACAGTTTATTAAAGACATGTTAAATAGCATTTTATCTTCAGTTTTAGCTCTGCAGTTCTTTTAGAGGAAAAAAAATCCACTCAGGGCAAGGAGGTTCATACTACATTAACAGTCACAATATTTCTCTATACCTATAGCTATATTGCATATATAAGTTTTTAAATAACTCTAGTTCACCATAATTACCAAGCCATTTTATAAAATACTAGAATGCATGAACACAAACAAAAAGATCCACTTCATCTCGAGCAGCCTGATCTAGTGAAAGATGCCCCCGCCCATGGCAGGGGGGTTGCACTACATGCTCTCTAAAGGCCCTTTCTAACCCAGCCCATTCTACTATGATTCAAGTGACCTGTCTCAATGTCCAAAAATCACATCCAATACCCTAAATAGTTAGTCATCTAGGAATTTGGATGTAAAAGGGAAAAAAAGTTAACCTGCATTTCACTGGGAACACATTAATTTAGTCGTTCTACATCTGGATCTTTAGTAGCAGCATGCTGTATTTTTACTATCAGCATTCAGTTAACTAAACATAAAAGCAGATAGCAAGAATACCCTTAACCTATATTACAAAATTTTGACAGATTCATTTAAAATTTTCCAAAACAGGTAAGAATGAGGGATGTAAACCGATTCTGTAAATCCCATTTGAATTTGGATAACATTCAAATCTTAAATATTCTGGAATAAGCATTTTTAGAGGTAATATTTCATGTACAATGCAGAGTATAATCCTAATACTGCATAAGTATTGCTACCAGCATAAAAGTAATTTGTGACGTAGCAAACCAAGTAGCTAATTTCCTCATAACGGTTTTCAGATTTTTTTTTTCTTTGTTGTTTTATTTGTCTTTATTTGATTTTGTATCAAAATCTGTCTTGCAAGAAAGCTACAAAGGACTGGAACAGACTAAAAATGAAAAGGAGGTACTAACGAGCCCAGTTCTGGCAATAATCTTATCCAGTGTATCTACTAATTGATGCAAAAGGAAAGAATGCCCTTCTGCTGAATCCACTGGGCCTGACCAAGCCCAAGAGTTATTGATAAAAAGGAAAATACCCCAAATTTTCAAAAAGAAAAGGAGCTGAAGATGTGTGAGGGAAAAGGACTCAGTTTATGAACTTAAGCGCATTTTGCACATCCAAAGTACCTGAGGATTTCACAAGGCACAGTAAGTTATCCTCAGTAACTCTGTACCAAGAAGGTTCACAAACTGGTTATGCCACGTAATCTGCAGTAGTAGCTACCTATTGCTTGACTGCTGGAGCTTTTCAGTTACAGGATGAGCATCTCCAAAAGGCAACAGGCAGCCACCATCTATGAATTGACAAGACGAAGGCTGCAATTGCGTACTATTTTAGTGGAATGAGAGGGGCACCTCAAAGCATGCTGTCGAGGTCTCAGTGAGGAAAACTATTGAAAGAACAGGGAAGGGAGTTAGGAAAGAGGATGGAAATGAAGATGAGGATAGAAGTGTATATTCTCCTGTGCTAGCATGAAGTCAGTTTCAGGTCACATGTTGACATAGGCACAAGCCACTATCTTAAGGGCTGCCAAAATATCAAAAAAGACGGAAGTATGAGGTTAAGTGGCTTCACTAGCATACCAATTAATACCGTATATGATTACAGCTGTGTTTTTCGGCTGGTTGGTTGGGGTTTTTTAATCTCAGTACTTCACCTGCCAATACATTTCCTGCATTACAAAGATATCAAATACAGTACCTGAGTCGATTCTTATCTGCAAGCAGCATATGAACATATCTTTCCAGGGAATGTTCATTTAATGCACAGCGCAACCAAGCCCGACCTCTACCAATATCTGTATTAATTGTCTTCAGAGAGTAAAAGCGTTGCAGTTCATGTTTATTCAGAACTTCTTTCACATAGTACCAAAACACTGGAGCTGGAATTTACATGCAATTTTATAAAACAAGCAGGTAATGGTATATAACTTCGAGCAAAAGTGAATCATTTACCATCTTCATGTAACTCTCCAGTTAAATCGGTTATTTATTTCTACAGAACTTGGGCTATTTAAGCACTTAGAAACTCTCGCTTAATTGAAAAAGCCAAACACACAGCGTAAAGGATTTTATCTTGCATTTTTAAATAGAATTCACATTTAAAAGCACATTTAAGCTAGTATTTCATCCATAGAACAGGATCACATGTTCAGCCAGGAATACACTATGCAAAGGAAAAAAAATTCTTTAGAACTCTCTCTTACTGCTGATTGTGAAATGTTAGAAGCTAGGTCCAAAGGAATGGGTATTTCCAGAATTTGCAGACACGCAAAAGACAAATTCATGTTACTTTAAAATACAAAAGTGTTACATTTAAAAGGCAATAATACCCCTTTCCAATAAAATACTTTCCTTGCCCTGTCCCCAGATCTTGATAAAAGTTTTTTTTGCAGTTGTGTCAAGTTTCTCAACTGGAGGTAACAAAAATCTACATCAGTAATTATAAACGTACAATAAAATACCTAGTATTTTACATATTCCTGTTTCTTAACTGAATTGTATCAATATAATAGTGATTTAATTATTTCCTTGTTTCTTGTGACAAATAAAATTCATTTTTCCATCTTGCTAAAGATTAAAATAATAGTAAAACTGGAAGCAAAAATATTACAGGAACCGAGAAAATAAGGAAATTTCCCCCTGCGCTGACAGTGGGACTCCGTGTTTCTTGGCATTCTGACCATTTACAGATAGCAAGGATTTTGAAAAGCTTCAAAATTTGGATTATATTAGTTTTTAATCAAAATCTATCCAATGGAAATAAAGTAAGAGCAATCCACACTCTAAGTCCCTCCCTAACATACTTTATAAAAACAGTAATGTAAGTGGCATTTTCAGATTACTAAGTTCTCTTCTGCAGGAGTAGCTTTAAAAGAAAATCCAAGTCCTAACTGTTGATATTATTTTTCATAGCAAATAACCCAATACTTGTTATTCAGAAGACAGACCATTTTAATTTCTCCAAAATACAATTTGTACAACTGTACTGTAGGCAGAGAAGACACTAACATTACACAATTCACCCAGTTATTCATCACTTTGTGAAAACAGTTTTTTTAATTTTAACAATATCACAGTTCCGATAACTGCAATACCATCAATCATTAATCAGCACCAAACAGCAGTCACATCTCAAGCTGAGAGCACCGAGGTCAGTCTGAAGCCAGGTTCAGTGCCTTCTTAGGCAAAAAAAAACCCCAATAAACAAAACCATTTACACTGTCAGCCATTGCGCATTTCAGTGTCTGTTCTGTCAAGTAATTAAAGAACAGTTTCATATTTATCATAAATGTCTCATGGTAGAACATTCTTTGCTACAGTTGGAAATATTAGTTCTTTCGCTTTTGAGAATATCATCAAATGAAGTTTATATTCCATAAGCCTTAGGCTATCACTTTCATCTCTAAACACAGCAACTAATAATTTTACCAGATTAGCCCCCAGCACTACTGTACAATGTCCTATTATTCATAAGTAAGCAACGATATGCAAAGTAGTAAAACTATACACACATTGTGACTTAGAGACAATTTCAAAATACCTTCCCATTTTTGGTACTCACATGCCACGAGGTTGTGAACAAGCCACATTCGTAATTATAGCGTGGTCTACCTATCTGTACATGGATAACACTACCCTACAGTTATAGCATCAAAGCATACACATTAATCGACAGCAATACGCAGCACCAGAACCACTACGGAAAAAAAACGCAACAAAGACAAAATTTTGCTTCAGCCTGAGGAAGAGAAGGCTTAGGGGGAGGGCAGACACCTAACAGCAGCCCGCTGGTACCTACGAGGAAGTCATCAAGACGACTAATTTAGGCTCTTCACACCGGCGCACAGCAGGAGGACAGTAGGCAACAGGCGTAAGTTAAAACAAGAGAGGCTCAGACCGGATATAAGGAACAACTCTTTCATCACGAGGACAGTCAAATGTTGGAACATGGCTGACCAAAGAGAGCGTGCAGTCTGTGGATGTTTTCAAGTCCCAAATGGATAAAACCCCAAGCAACCTTGTTTAACCTCATGGATGATCTTTGTAGGACTGCAGATCCCCTGAGGACCCTTCCAACTTGAATTAGTCTATGATCCTCTGACTGAGTGCAGAAAAAAGACTGCTGTGAACTATTACTGCCGTTACTGACAGAAAGGTTTCAGCAAGTCTGGAACCGGGCCTGCTGGCGACAGGTGGAACTCAGCTATCTCAAAGGCGAAAAAGAATTCTTGGCCACGAGCTGGCGGGGCTCATTGAGAGGGCTTTAAACTAGGTTCGAAGGGGGAAGGGGATATTGCCCAGCTCACTAGGGATGAGCCTAGGCTTGGAGTGCCAAGGCCAGGGGTGAGATTGACAGCCCAGCTCAAGTGTGTTTACACCAATGCACGTAGTATGGCCAATAAACAGGAGGAGCTGGAAGCCATTATACAGCAGGACGGCTACGACTTGGTCGCCATCACAGAAACGTGGTGGGACAACTCGCATGACTGGCATGCTGTCATAGATGGCTACAGACTCTTTAGGAAAGACAGGCCAACAAGGAGAGGTGAGGGAGTTGCTCTATATGTGAGGGAGAAACTGGAATGCATTGAGCTTGGCCTGGGGGCAAATGAGGAACAAGTTGAAAGCTTGTGGGTTAGAAT